ATTCACCTAGTTTCTCACAGACAGAACTATGCATAAGCAAAAGCAGATTTTGCGCTGTGCTTAAATTGTTCCCTGATACATCACATTGGGACAAATCTGGGTTTTTTGTGTTGTGTTTCTAAACCAAGTGTTTTAAGAGATCTAACTGTACATTCGGATAGACTACAGCTCGATTCCGTCTTTTGGAAACCATATCTGAGGCATGAATTAGAGGGAGTAATCTTGGGGGGGGGTTAGGGTTCAACAGTCAAAACTCACGGCAGAGTTCTGGCTACTGGGAGGGGCCTTCAGCCTTACACAGGGTGACCATTCGCCCCACTTTACGCCTCTGATGGGGGCCTCATGATGAACAGCTCCCCATTTCACAGCCAAAAACTTCCTGATTGGGACAATAATTTATAGATTTTAAAAGCATGAATCAGTCATTTTCTCAGACCTTTGCCTTTGATAAAAATGAGCAATAGTGCTTCAGAAATAAAAGATCAAAGCTGAATTTTCAAATTCCAATTAAAGTCTTCCATGGTTTCTCTAAGATCAAAATAGTTTCCCTCAGAACTAACATATGCCATGGTTTTGCGTGGCTACTTGTTGATGGATTTCTGTTTTTCTTTAGGGCACTACGCCTAGAACAAATAGCTGGGAAAATTTAATTTCACTAAATTCAAATAATTTATAGAGATGTTCACTAATTCTTTATGCTTAAAAAAGGAATGAAGCTACCAAAAGTAATCTATCAATTAATTACTTTTCAAGGTAAAAGATAAAGGAAAAAGGCTGGAAGTTTGATATTTCCCCAAAGCATTACACTCCTGGGCAACTCTTTCCAAACTGCATATGATTGAACCTTTTTGCTGACATAAAATTAGAAAAACAAAAGGTTATTCTGAAAGAGTTCTAGGCTCAGAGTTACAGAAGAAAAAAAGTCTCGAGGTGTTGTGGGTAAATTAACTATGATGTTATAATCAAGTAATAATTACACTTAGGGGCCAACAGAGGACTCGTTGCAGACACTCGGGGCTGAGAACTAGCCGTGTCCGATCCCATCCCCAGCTGGGCAGTTTCCACCTCGGCTTAGACAGCAGGTGCATTAGAGAGCTGGATCCAGAGAACTGGGATGGAGGGTTCTGGGATCTCAAGACTGAGGGTTTTAGGGAATATGCAGAAGTCTGCTTTTTTCTAATCAGGACACCGGGCTGGGGCGTGCTTTGCCTTGCTTAGTGGAGCACTGTGTAACCAGCAAACTGTCCCGGTGGACCAGAAACATGAAAACTAAGCATCTAAATGCAGACGCAGCAGGGAAGCTAGAAAATCTCCAGCTGCCCTACAAGCAGCTGCTCTCCTTTTTAAATTGAGGAAAAACACTCCCACACGTTACTTAATTCTACTACTCTGACATTTTTTCACGATGATATCGGCAAGAGGTTCCTGGATCTTTGGACAACGCTGCTTTTGGTCACTGTGAGCGTAAGAAGCAGAGGGACGTGGTGCCCACGCTCTAACATTGTCAAGAGAGGAAAAGGGCAGAAAACGCAGGCTGTCTACGTATGCTGTGGCGTTACTCAGCGGCCTTTAGTTTGAGTATTCTTTGCTATTGAGTTAGCTACTTCAAGTAGATCCTTAATGCCCTAAACTTGAAAAGGTAGCGGTTCAGCTCCGAGGAGGATCACCAGTCACCATTCACAAAAACAAGGATGACCCTCTGTGGACCAAACGATCAATACCTTTGGTGAACATGACGGGTGGCAGATTATAGGTTAAGAATCAAATGAATTCATTTAAAAAGTCATACCAAAAGGCACTGTAGCAGACTGGAACAAGTTGAAACTTAGGGACGAGAAGATCTGGGTTTTTAAGTTCTGACTTTGTCACTCATGGTTGTGACCTTGCATTTGTCCCCTGACATCTGAGTCTGTGATCAACTCTCTAAAAATAGGTCAATATTCTTTCACAGGGTTGTTGAAGCAAAAGAAAATGTTTTGTATGCTATGTTTTAATAAATAGGTAAAACTATCATGTAAAGATTTTAAAACTTCATATTATGAAAAGGTTAGAGGAGATAAAAGAAGCCTTAACTACATTCCTTCCGAACATTAATACTTGAAGCTTTAATAATCAGCAATAAGCCCCTTGCATAGAGCAGCATGTTTTGAAGGTTCCTCTGAGGAAGCACCGCATCAAGCCCAGTGTGCAGCGGGCCATCGGTGCTCGCCCAGTAGCTGCATTTTCTGTATCTCCCCAGTCTTGTTTGTCCTCAGGCCGGCGCTACAGTTCTAGGTTCTGGACAAAGCCTGTGTGGAAAGCATGTCTCTTCCAGGTCTGGTCCTTGACATCCATCAGCGGTCAGTCTGCTCCTTCCCCACTTTGACAACTTTGGGGTCCACGTGATCAGATGGCACAGAGATGAAGGCAGACCACGCAGCCCACCTGGGTCGTTTCATGAGCAAGAATTTCACTTTTCTATGAGCCTCACCAACTTGGTGTTTTTCATTTGCAGCATGGCCTACTCCAAACTCATACTCTGTGGGAGGAGTCAAGCTAGATAGGGTTGGAAACAAACCCAAAAAAGGTTCCTACCCCTCCAGAGAAAGAAGAGTTCAAGGATTTTGACCTGAAATTTCAGTCCATTCATGCCAGTGAAGGGATGTGCTGTTTCATTAGTAGTTTGTCTCTCTCGCTGACAAAGACTATGTGTGCTTACTATGGTTAAGTGTCACAGCAGGTGTATTTCTGAATCCAAAATATGAGCACCAAGAAGGATCTCTACCAGGGTCTTTGTCTATCACTGGTGTTATAGTCAGAACGTCCTAAGACCTCTGAAATCAGGTTCTGTAAATGTTAAAAGTCTTAGTCAAGTGAAATCTTTTTATATACATCAAATAATTTAATCACTGTAATTTACATCCAGCCGGAAAGAGACACCATATTTAGAAAAGTGACTAGAATAACCTATCTCATTACCCTTATCTACATGGCCCAAATCTTTGTAAATTCTTTTTCTAGTAGATAATTCACGTTCCTGTGGGTAGAACATCTTATGCTGCTTTGCAGGTGTTTTGATCATAGAAAACAAAAACAAAACCCAACATAAAACAAAGCAGCACTATATTAATTACACAGTTCTTCTTCCACGAAGGGAATAATGCAGAGACTCTAACTGGAAGCCTAGTCACATCCCTGCTATGAGCTGGATATGTGGTCCTGGAGCAGAACCATCAGTCCAAGGTCTATTACCAGACTGGACGTCTGAGTAGCATCTCCCGTTGTTTATTACAACTTAGGTCTATACAGAGGGTCTTCCACTCAACTCAGATTCTCAGTGGTGGAGAGTGTGCTTAGTTGTCTTCCTCTCCCCAGTGACCAGAATGAGCCCTGACATACAGCAAGTACCTTACATGCTTATGAAAAGATTGAAAAAAATTAAGGACAAATATAGGGAAAAGTATATTTACTACATTTCCATGACCCGTACTGATTTTAAATCCAATCTAGAAATAAGAGCATGATTTACATCAGGCAACAGGCGTTGACAATTTTTACAACAGGGAGATCACAGAAGGGGCTTGCTGGCTCGCAGCATTCCAGGTGGCACACCGCAAAAGCTCTCCGGGCATCCTGGGCATTTTCAAACGCTCCACCATGGAGGTCACGACCGGATTCCAGGGCACGCTCCCTCTCACCATGCACCGTGGAACGTTTTCCCACAAAGACAATTACAAGCCTGTGAACAAGTCAGGTCAGCAAAGGCAGGAAAAATGGAACTCTAAGTACTTACTTTTACCATGAGGAAAACAATTTGCAGTGGACTGTTCTGTAAATCTAAACATTTAATACATTGCTTCTATAAGAAAATACCTATTAAATAAGCTAAATTTAAATCTTAATTTTCTGGTAGGATTAATCTTCTGTTAAGGTTCTCATCATAAATTGAAGATACAAAAATTGAAGAGTAGGAAATAAAAGTTTTCTCTTAAATTTTCTTTGCCACTTTAATGCTTTGAAAATTCAAAATGGATATGCTGGGTAAAAACAAATAAGGCACAAATATTTCCAGCTTGCACACTGATAAACAAGAAGACGTCTAAGATTCTCAGGCGGGCTTTCAAGCTACAGTGAGCGTGGTGCTCCCACCTCATCACGGCTGAATGCAAGCCTGCAGCACGGCCGTGTTACAGGTGCACTGCGAACACCTGGAAAGGGGAGGGAAGCAAAATCCTCGGAGTTTTATGTGTGGAGTCAGGAGTCATCTAACACGGAAACCACTTCAACATTCCGGGAGCTTAGCGTGACTAGGAACCATCACTGGAGCTGGAACGTAAAGCAAATTCGACGCTGGGTAACAGTAAACATACAGCTTCCGGCAGATCTACACACACTTTTCAGAAGTACAATGAACCCGGCTTTCATTTTGCGGTTTCTTTCGCACCTTAGATTTCTATGTAAATCTCAAGGGAAGTTTCTTTCCAATGTGAGAATTCAACCAACTTTAAAATGGGGGGAAGAAAGGATGCTGCTTTGCAGAAATTCATCATCATAGCATGAGATATTTCCTCACGAGAATGACTTTAAAAATTAGAATGCTTGTTTCTGGCAAAGCACATCATGGAAACCCCTAAAAAAAAAAAACCCCAATTCTTGACAAATGTATCATCAACTACTTAGAAAATTTGATTCCTTTTTTTTGATCACGTTATTGGTCATTAGCAAAAGAATTATATCCTAGCTGCATCCTCCCTTAGAATATGGTACTTTCTCTGAAATTCTGCTGTCATTTCTAATATTTTAAACAGTAAAGAAGTGACCGTGCACCATGCTGGACGTGGTGAGTGACTGATCTGTGTTTGCTCGACACCCAGCTTTCTGAGACTCTAAAGGTGGCCTTTCTGATGAGCAGTGTCACTAATGTCTTACAAGATACTCAATGATGTGCTATTTGCCCTGAAAAAGTGGCTGCTGCTGCACACTGCACGGAGTCATATACAGTGAAGGGACGACAGAAATCCTTTTTTTTTTTTTTTGGTTTAATACGACAGATTTAAACAGAACAGCCACAACTGGGTGAGTGAATATCAATGGTTGAACTTCTAGAAAATGGGCAGGCAGAGGGGCCCAAACTACAACACGTACAGCGAGGATGGGGTCCGTGGGCTCTCCTGCAGGGACAGACGGGGCCGGGTTCTTAGAGCTTTCCGGAGAAGACCCCAGGAGAGCGCCCGGGCCTGCACTTAGCGTTCTATCAGCAACACCCGTGAAGAGACACGCATTCAGCTCTGACAGTGAAATGACACGAGTCTGTCCAGAGTATCGCAGTATCTGGATCATGGACTCTGATACTTTTCCACTGTCAGATTTCCTTATCAGCAAAATTATTAAAAATTATTGGCAACTATACAAAGCCTTTGCTGGTGCAGGCGTTATGGTATGGGTACCCATCTGGTAAAGAGAATCTCACCATCCACACCTAAGTATCTTAATATCTTCTATCATTCAAATATCTTAAGCGAATATTCTTAAATTTTTTATCCAAAGGTATTTTTGTTGTCTTTACCCTATTACCCTAAAATCAAGTCTTTTGAAAAACTACAGTATCTTATATATTTTTTTAAAAATCTCATGCTATTCAAATCTCAAAACTGTCATGTTAGTGATGTTAACTATCTAAATAACTTGGCTTCATGGAATAGCTTTTGAGTATTTATTGCTCAGATGGGTTCAAAAAAATTCTTAAACATAATGTGGCGATGGCTCTAATACATCTGTAAACAGAGTATCACTAATAAAAATTTTATTGGCATGAAATACTATAATTATGGATGTGTAAAACCTTTAAATCTTAAAGCCTCTTAACATAATCATGTATATCTATGTACAAAACATACATAAATTTCACTTTATTTAAAACATATGAAAGAGGGACTTTCAAATCACACTAAACATAATAAATATAGAACTTGCTTTGTTAAAAATCTACAGTATACATTCAAGTAAAGGCTAAACTTCCAATGCCAACTATATATGAGACAAAATTAAACATTTACAATAATCAGTTTCCTAAAAGTGCTATTTTTTTATACCTATAAGAGGAAACTCATTCTAGTGCTTTTGTTTCCGTTCAAACATCTATACATTCCTTTATTCACAGAACCAGATGCTTCTGTTACTAAAAATACATCTCCAAAGCTTTTATATCCTTTTAAATAGATTTAACATTTTAGCTCTTTGGGGGAGGAACAGGGAAGTTCAAACAAACAACACAGACCGTCTTAAGTTATTAGAGATGATTGACTTTATGACACTCCCTGCTTCAACTCAGATGTGAAATTTGATGAACATGTTAATGAAAAAAACCTCCAGTTCACGTGTCTAAGGTAAGTCATCCTTCTCTACGTGCGAATTTGTGTAGGGCAAGGAGCAGCCACTATGGCAGCCTTCCTGTGACCCAGGTCTTGACGCCATGCTCCACTTCTGATCTGCACATTCTCTTCCCGCCTGACTTGGTCTAGTTTCTTCAGGGGTTACATTCAGTGCACTGACTGAGCTGCTGGGGAGAGAAAGGCAGATCTTAGTCATCATCTCTTCCTCCTGTCTTACCTCAGACATGCCTGAATGTCTAAAATCTAATTACTCCCTTGTCCTGAGCTACGTAAATTTGAGGACACATCGATCAGGAACATAGCAGTGTGTCCAAATGGCCTAACTGGTCACCGTTATCTATCCACCTATTTATCTGTTCAGTCTACCCTACAGGAAGCTGCCCAAGAAGAGCCCAAGGTAGACGGAGAACGTGTGGGTTTTGAACGTTAATGTTCTCACATCCCCGTCTTCCTGCCACTGTTTTCTAATCTCTTTATGGTTTCTTTCTTCAGTCGTCCCTGTGTTCATGTACACTTCTGTCCTCCATCCATTCTTCCAGTAGATATTTAATGAGTGGTTAAGGATCCCGGCCCTGGAGTCCGATGACTGAGGTTCACATCCCAGCTGGCCCACTCACCACATGCATCACTTCTGGCAAGTTACACCTCCCTGTTCTTCAGCTTCCTCAGTTGTAAAATGGAAATAACAGTACCTACCTCAAAGGGTGGGGGTGGGAACTCAGTGAGTTAACACACACTAAGCACTAACAACCGTGCTCAATTTAAGTGTCAGACAATAACAGCACAGTGTCTGAACACAGACACAGCCCCCAGCTTCGGAGATACACCCTGAGAAGTATGCTCCGCAACCAGCCTCAAAACAAGGAAATCCAGGCAAATGATTACTTGCAAATCTATGAGGTTGAGTCAACGAACAATACATTTTTATCAACTGAATATCTTATGTAATTTATTTTTCACAATACTTTTCCCTAAATGTTCATTTTTTGTGTGCCTTCACTTAACTAACTTGACCTTATAATGTGGCAATCCTAATAAAAAAAAGTCACTTTAATTCTAAAACTCTGAACCAAAAACATAACTGAAAACTTTATTTACACTTACTTGCTTAAAAAGAAAAAAGGATCTTGCTTATAATTCAGCCTCAGAATCCCTGCTGTCTCAGATGAGACGAGATCAATGATGAACTAAGTTCTCTAAGTAACTTGGCACCCGAGTTACTTTGCGTGGAATCCAGGCACAGCCTTTATGTAAAATTCCACTCTGCAGTGAAGGCACAATGAGATGCTGCCATAGGAATTAGCTACAAATACTCCTAGTTATTTTGTCACAATCTCATCACAAACCCAGATCCGAGGTGCATTCAGAGCAGGAATCCAAATACACCAAATAATTAAAAGTTTCAAGAACCACGTCAAGCTGCACAGCTTCTCTCCTGCTGACAAAAGTTACACAACCTTTTGTGTTACCCTCAGAGGGCAGTAACCACAAACAGCTGAATGAAATTTCCTTACGCTCCAAAATTCTGTTTCTCCGCCACTGATGTTCAGTGTAGCCCGTGGGATACATGAAACGGAAGAGTATTTTAATAATCCGTTTATGTTTACGTATATTTTTATTTTTATAGCCTGTTACTGAAGGTTTACAAGGGACCAAGTACTGTTTCACGTGCTTTACATATATTGGCACTTAATCTCACGACACCCTAGGGTCCAGGTACTAAATGTCGGACTTTTATTAAACACAAAACAGTCTTCAAGGAATTCTTATGTTAAATATTTCATAGCTAAAAATAATTACGTAAAAAAGTAAAAATTTAAAATATGTGAAAATAATGGAGGCAACTATGCTACATTCTCTTTCAGGGGCAGAATGCATGGCAAGCATACCTGGTTTCGCTGCACTTTGCAGATGCTGAAGGTTTATGACCTCCCTGGGTTGTCAGAGGATGATCAGCATTTTTTAATTAAGGTATGTACAGTGTTTTTAAGACACAATGCTATTGCACACTGACGAGACTACAGTACAGTGTGAATAGAACTTATATGCACTGTGAAGCCAACAAATTTGCGTAACTCACTTTATTGCGATGCTCGCTTTATTGCAGGGGTCCAGAACTGAACCCACAGTATCCCTGAGGCGTGCCTGCATTTGCAAATGGTGCCTAGAACGTGGTCTAAACCTGTACGTGTAGTTCTGACTGGTCAAATCTGGACGTTTCAATAACATTCTATGTAAGAAAATACTCTGAGCTTACATTATCTTTTGATTGTGAATTAAATAAACTTTAACTTCTCATATTTAAACCATCAGTCAACCTATTGGCTCTAACTGCAAAATACAGCCTAAATCCGACATAGTTCTATCTTCTGGTTGAGAGCCTGGTCCCAGTTACCACCCTCCCTCACCTCACCTCCAGTAAGGTCCCCAAACTGGGTCTCCTGGCTCACACTACTGGCTCCTACAGTCTGTTTCTCACATAACAACATGAAATAATCTTTTTAAAATTTAGATTTCAAAAAAAATCATTCTCTTACTTAAAAAGTCTCCAGTGTTTTCCCACTGCCCTTAGAACAGCATCCGGCTTACAAGTACAGACTAACGTATTTTACAAATGAAAGCTCAAGTGTGCGGTGGGGGCAGAGAGGGGCTGTATATAAACGACACTGGCCACGAGCTGGTGACTCTGAACCTGGTTATTTTTAATTTTTTCCCCTTTTACTGAGGTTAAAACAAAATAAGGAAAAATCTGTAAGTAGACAGGAAAAACAAAATAAGCAAGAATGTTATAGTCTGACTATATAATATTCTCTCATTCTTGGTGGACCACTAAAATGTAACAAGGGTCCCTGACCTAATTCTCTCCACGTTGTATTTGAACTTCTACCCAGTAACGTGTAACCTCCCACCCTCACACCTCTTGGTCTCGCTCACTCACTGCTCACCAGCCACAAAGACACCCGCGTCCCACCTCCAGGTCCCCACACTTGCCTGGGCTCTTCCCCCAGTGTTTACTTAGAGTCCTAGTCCTTTTAAAAGCCAACTAACTATAAATTAGAGTGTCTTGTCCTTTTTTAAAGCATCATTTTTGTTTTGAACATCATCTGTTTAACAATTCCCAGTCTGAGGGCCAGCCGGCTCCTTCCACACGCAGCTCCACACTGGTCTGTCTCCACTGCAGGCCAAGCGCGCTGCGTCCCCGCTCCTGTCCCCCAGGGGCCTGGCAGGCCCCCGTGCCTCTGCCTCCCGCTTTAACTAAGAGGTAAGAGACCTCCACCACACTCTGCAACGTGCCCCTTTGCTCTTTTCTATCCCTCTCTACCCACCAGGAATGTCCTATCTGCTCAGTTCAAAATTAATCTTCGAATACGCTCTAAGGTAGAGTATTGATGTTATACCTTAGAAAATTATTTAACAACTTAAGACAGAGGAAAACTCAAAATGCAACTATTAATCACAATACATGGGGGTGGGGAGCAGCTCTGTCCACTGCGTCATCCTTGGGCACAGATCCTCCTCGTCAGCCAGGAGGAGGAGCCTTTTCTCAGCTCTCTGTCCTCCCATGCCAATAAAACGAGCAAACCACAAGGAACTCTAAAGCAGGTCCTCCACAAAAATCGTCAGAACAATGTCCTTCCATTTAATACAATTAAAATAGTAAATAATTCCTATAAATAAGAATGCATTTTAAATTGCATTTTAGATGTGAAATAAAAAGAATCGCATTCTACTGAAAATGAACATATGTGTGTATATGCATGACTGGGACACTGTGCTGTAAATAAAATTTAAAAAAAAATCACATTCTATAACTTAGCTTCAGAAGACAGGGCCCAGAGCTACCCTGTTCACTGTTGCACTGCCAGCGCCTAGCAGGTATCTTTATACAATGGACACCCAATACATTTGTACAATGTATGAATTGCTACACACTCAAGCATTACCTCCCACCCTCCAGCCCTCCACCCTTAGAGCCAATCTACTGAATTCCTCTCATCCTAGACATGCCAGCTTTTCCTTTGCAGCGTGATTCTAGCAGTTTTACGAATATGTAAGAAGATCACCCAGAGACCAGTACCTGTGTTCAGACACACAGGACCGTGTCTTGCAGAAGTCTGAAGTGGAAGGAGAAGCAGGAAGAGACCTAGCGAGCTTAGACGTGCAAACTGGAGACCCGTCAGACACACTGTGAGGCTTCTTCTGTCGTGGCCTCGAGTGCACTGTAGGATTGTCCCGATCAGAACCTGCTGAAAAAAAAAAAAAAGAAGGAAAAAACGTGTACACACGGTGAAGCATTAACTATAGTGAAGGTACCTTAACTAGGCTCCGAGACCAGATTCACGCGCAGTCCTAAGTGAGGATGAGACCCACTCCAGCCCTGTGAGTCTAACCTAGCTAATCCTGTGATCTCTGTCATGCGTAGTCCAGAAGCGTTTAGAAGAATCTAGTTTTTAAAGTATTTCTAGATTGTGAATTTTCAAAACTAGACATTATTACACTCACAACAGAAGATGACTTTGGTATGCAAAGTCCTCCTGTCATTTCTACTGTGACTACAGTACGCAAAATAGCAAAGTTGATTCTTAGCTCCAATTTGAGAATTTTTACTGGTGATTGCTACAGGACTTTATTTACATGCATTTTCAAATTGAAGAGTTTATGAAGTACTCACTTCCTGAGAAGGCACTGAAAAGTTTCACATTTTCTGAGTTCTGGTGGTCAAAGGTAGTCATATTTAAAAACTGCTGCTTTAACCAACTGGCTCTTTCCTCTTCAAACGCCTTTCTCTAAGCAAACCAAAGAGAGACTGATCAGCATTTCCATATTCAGAGCTTCCACTTCACACGCTTCCCCTGGCTATTTGTGTTTGCCCCCGATCTCAACATGTTAAGTTAAAGGAATTTAATCCCAGAAAACTAAGAAAAATGTCATTGAAGGAAATCACGTTTAAAAAACAAAATTCACTTGTTTCTCCTAATAAGCCAACTGCTATTTTCATATCAATTCCAAATAAATTCAAGTGTACAGCACAAAAAAGCAAGCACATTAGCGTAACTTTAAACATACAGAAAATCAGCATAACTTTTGAACATACAAAACAAAGTCACAAACAATAGAAAAATGACCCATTGTAAATTAATCACTTGGAAAAAAACATAAAGGAGATGTGTCTCCATCAAGCACTGCTCTCACCCTCCTCTGATCACCCACCGGTGCAGCCGCCACCCCTGCTAAACCTAACAAGGGGGCACATGTCAACTCCCCCCTCTGAAAAGCTGGTGAGCCAGCTCTCAGTTCTCCCTCCCTCATGCCTCGGGTCTCCGGTACTTCCCTCCACCATTCCCTGGCCCCACAGTCCTCGGGGAGCAGAGGCAGACAGATTCTTGTGCAGAGAACCGGGAGCGGCCCGCAAAGCCCCAAGAGCATCTCTCAGAGGAGCGAGGGGGTGGTGGGGGGTGGGCTCGGAATCAGAGGAGATCCCGTAAGCCAGGAGGAAGTGCGGGTGCAACCTGTTTTTGTTTCCTGAGGAGGACAGCTACTGATGAGACAGACTTTCCTAACTATGGGGGAAATCCATGTCCGCTCCTTAATATACAGTCTTTCATTCATAAATATTAACACAAAGTCATGGATCACCAGACATTTGAAGAAAACTAATAGCTTAAGAGAAGAAAAGCCAAGGTAAATGAAGGGAACCGATCATGGATAACTTTTTTAAAATATTATAACAGATTATCAGACAGATTTATAAACATCTGTAAAATATAATGCTATACCAGAAAAAGGCAAAAATAAGGACATTAGAAAACTTAAAAGATAAATTCTGAAGTAAAAACTCAGCGGATGAAGTGAACAATGAAAGTGACCTGGCTGAACACGAGATAAAGGCAAGGAAACAGTCCCGAATTTGGAACATAAAGGCCGTCTACAGACGGAGCCAGAAGGCCCAGAATGTCAGAGAAATCAAAGACGAAAAAAATACAGAATCGGAGAAAATATCCCTACGCTGAAGAAATAGAGTGTTTTGAGGCAGAAAGGAGCTACCCAGACATCATCCTGCTAAAACTTCAGAACAAATTCCAAAAGCTGCCAGAGAGGGGGAAAAGCAAAGTACAGGTTATCTACCAGGCAATGCAGGTTACACGACAAGCCAGGCTTCTCATTAGCAAAACCAAACACTGGAAGAAATGGAGTAATTCAAAGTTTTGAGGGAAGAAGTTTGAAACTAAATACTATATTCAGCCAAACCAATCAAGCATGAATGTATTTTGGATATTCCAGAATTCAGTATATTTTTCACTCACATTCTACTTAGGGAAAAATTAAGAAGGTAACACAGGAAAACTGGAAAAGGAATCCCAGAAAGAGTGTAACATGAGATATAAGCTGAATCTGATTCAGGAGATCGCAAAGGAAGCAACAAAGCCAAAGAATTCACCGTACAGTGAGACATGGGAGATTCTCTTCCTCGTGGCAAAGACTTAATAATATAGAATATTTTCTATGCATCCAAACATACTACTTGGCTATAGAACGAGTAACATTTACATAATCATGATGCTATCGATGCCTTTTCTGGTTTTCAATTTTTAAGTCCTAGACAAGGTACTTACACCCGGATTGTACCAAAGGCCAGAACATGAATGTGGTAACACATGACAATGAAAACTAACATCGCAGGCAAGCTGGGGGTGGAGGGGCGAGGGCAGCGGGACGAGGGCGGCCACAGAATGCCCTCGTCTATCGTCTCGGGGACAAGCCGGCACTGTCTGAGGCTGAGCAAGCTTGAAAAGGAAGCATTAACCGTATTTACTTAGAGTAAAAAAGTCAACCAGAAGAAGCAATATTTTAAAAAAGTGGCTTAAAAAAATCATGAAGAAATCGGACATCAGTGAGAACCAGCATAGACGGAGGTGCGATAAGGACTCTGAATTCCTTGTCCTTCATGGCGGGAACCAACAGGCTGAACTTCATTAAAGTTAAACAATGCTTCCCAGAAGAATCCCTGAGGTAACCTCGGAGGAACTGGCGATAAGAACAGAGGGGAGCATCTCACCATGCAGGCTTCTGTGTGGGCTGCGTTTCTTTGTTTCAACCATGTTCAGACATCACTTCTCTAATTTTTGAAAAGAACTATGTAGGTAGTAGGCTGCCAAGTAAAAGCGTGCTGTGCAAGCGCATGCACGACAGTCCTAACTGAACTGTTACGGCCTGCACCCCTGGGGGAGGGGGTGGAGAGAGGGCGCTCTTTATACTGCACTCCCCCCTCCCTTTTATTGTCTCCTGACCCCACACCTGCTGACAGTGGACAGATGACAGGCTCAGGAGAGATCTCTAGTGTGAAGCTGAATCTTTAACAGCAGGAAGCCGACCTAAAAGGGGTGATAAATGCTTATAGTTGTTTCAATTAAAAATTTTGTTTTCACTATTAAAATTCTTTCAATTCCCAAATCTGGTAAAAGCAAAACAGTATCCTTCGGTAACAGTTCATGTGCTTAGCATCCCTTCTGTTTCAAGCTATTTGTGAAATCACTGGTAAAATACTTCAGGGAAAAACTGGATAGCAAAGGAACGGTGCAAAGCAGAACTCCGAGGCGCTCTCCTGAGGCCTCCCCAGGACCTTCAAACGTTCCACAGGGGAAGCCAGTCATTTAAAATACCTCCAACCCCAGGCGAATAGCTGCTTCAGTAAAGCTCCGTCTTTCTTTCTCAAAATTCTTTTTTTGCTCTTTGAATAGAGACCACTCCTCTTTGAGGCGTTCCTTCTCTTCCAGCAAATAACAGTCTCGCAGCAAGGAAGTGGTGTCGTCGTCACACGCGGTGGCGAGCTGCTGCTGTTAAATTTTAAGACATAGTAAGTTCCGGGGGGTCCCTACGACACCCCAACAAGTTGAAATGAAAACAGAGGAAAGCACGTCAAGCTTTAGGGAAAGGAGAGAAATTACAAAGAATCAGAAAGTCAACCGAGGAGTCTCTTTTCCCAAACAAATGCTTCTACTCTGACTGGCAAAGCACCGACTAGAAAGGCTATGTGATCTGTTAGCAAGTAGAGGGCTTTATCTGAAAAACGTCAAGTGCTACAGATCTTATGAAATAAAGGAGCAAAAATCTAGTAAGATTCAGTAACATTCTGACCCTTCACAGGGGAGAACAGCTTTAAAAGGTGCCCACGTTTACCTGTAAAAGCTGCTGCTGAGTTTTAATCATCTCTTTACAGTGCTGAATTTCTAGCTCAAGTTTCTCAGTTTCTTGCTCATGGTCTTGTCGTGAGATCACGTCTTCATCACTGAAACCTTCTAGGTGTACCTTTGAAACTAACACAAAACCAGGAATTTGACCTAAGTCTTACAGTCACTATTTTAGTTTATGGCGTTTGGGAACATACATGTAAAAATTAAGGCTCTCAGAACTTTTCTCTTTCTGGAATCTCATAGGTTTTCTAAAAAGTAGTCATTTCCTTTGCCCTTTAAAAATTTAAGAAGCTATAATAACACTAAATGTGCATTATTTTAACACTAAAATTTTTTAAAAGCAAAGCAGGTGTAAGGAGTTCGTGACAACTATAAATTCATGTTATTTCTGAAATAAATGATGCCCTCACTTTTAAAGCTCTATCGCCAACATTTCATGTGCAATTCCTACTTGCTTAAGGTTATGCCCAGTTAAAAAGGTACAGCCTATGTTCACAGAACAGAAAAATTGACATTCTTAAGCTATGCTCTTTTGATACTTCAAAGATCGATGCAGTGCTACAAATCTTGCTGTTACTGCATTCAACAAATACGAAGTCCAAGAAGACTTGCTGTTTACTAGTAAACAGTGATGACTGAAATCAATAGTCACGTAAATTAATTCCGGTACTATAACTTCAGTGATTCCTCTTTATTTTTGAACAATTTTAACAATTTTAAATAAATTTTCCTTAAATAGACCTCATTTACCGAGCGGAAACCTTTATCTTCTTGATTTAAAAGCACACAAACTTTTAACAAAAATAAAATACTAAGGACATATCTATCTATACTATTTATAATGACAGGAGATGGTGTCTAAAATAATACACTGTTAAGGGAAAAAAAGCACAATGTAGGAAAACACATGTAACATTCAATTTTTAGTTTATATACACTTTAAAATAAACATTTTGCAAACACATTGAGAAAGGTCTAGAAAGATAGACATCAAATGTTAAGTGTTACATATAGGGAATAAATTTTACATTATGTACCTCCTAATTGATATTTTGCATCAAATATCTACTATTTTGAAAAGAATTTAAAAATGAATCATTAGGAACCTAGGAATGCACAGATATCTAGGAATAACAAGCAAAAGGTTCGTATTTATACTGTATTGTGATTACTATTTCTTGATCTCCAAGGCTTAGTAAGAGGCTCAGCTCACTTCACTCAGTTGTCTGCTGCACTCAGAGCAGATGGATATACGATGCACTCTTTGCAGAGATCCACTCTGAGAGCACAGCATCCTTCCTCAGTGAGGTTCAAACCGCACGTCTGGAAGTAGGCAGAGTCTTGCTTTTCAAACCGCCAGACTGAGCTACAGGAATTCAGTCTGAGCCGCGCTGCAGCTTTCCCGGGGACTGAAATCAGAAGCTTACCAGTGTCACAGCTCACCCTGCCTGCATTCAGGCAGTACTTACCTTGGTTATCAAGTTTTTCTACATGACTTTTCAAAATTCTCCACTGTTTTCTGATGCTGTTTGTAAGCTGCTCTCTCACAGTTTCACAGGAAAGGTCCCACATACTCTCTCTACTCAGTTCCCCAGCGTCTTCTTCCACATCAGAGATAACCTACAAGTGGTCAGAGATGACAGGGAAAGACCCGTATCTTAAAATGGCTTTAGGTATCAGGCAGGAGTCATCAGAGTGATGGTCAGAGACACGTATCAGAGTCATTTCTGTGCTGTATCTTAAGTATAAATGACCCAGTTGTTAATATAAATATCTTGAGAAAAAGCAATACTGAAGACAGACATTCCCCAACTCAGGTCTCTTCAAACCTCAATTTGAATCCAAATACAGTTAGTGACAAGAGTCATGGAGCTGTGTGGGGAACAGTTATTCACTGCTTCTCTGATGTCGAGTTAGATGCTTTCACATGTTAATTAATCCTCAAATCACGAGGCTCAGGGAAGTGGACTAACTTTCCCGATGTCACACAGCTCCAGTCCAACTTGTCTCCAGTCTTTGGCTGCTTAAATAATCCTGTGAAATAATCTCAAAGTAAAACCAACTATTACCCCTATTTTTCTCATACAATTTTTTTTTAATAAAACTGCAGATATTTTTCTCTGTATTCTACCAAGACACTGAATCATGGGAAATGTAGCAAACTTTACTGCCCCATGATCATAAAGAATCAAAGCAGGACAAAGCATACAGGAAGCAACACTAAATGTCTATGTGGCATAACACTCTGCATCTATATAAAATGTTCCTAATTTGTTATTAACATCCAGGAAAGCAGATGTATATATTTTTCCCACTAATTTGAACAACAAACATCTTGTTGGGAAAACAGAAGGAAAAATAGATGATGAAAAGAAAGAAGGGCTGTCAGGACTGCCCCCACACGTGGATGCAGGAATGGGGGAGTGACTGAGTCCGTATCCATCCTCAGGTCTGCAATGGGCTGGCAGAGGTCACGGTCACCAGGGGGTGAGGCGGGGAAAAGGCCCAGGGTGTGGCTCACTGTGACTCTGGTTCTCGCCAATCAATGCTCCGGGGCTACTTGACAGTAATTCTTCCAAGGGGCTACACCTTCTCTGCTACGTATTTCAAGATATACTAGAATATTACAAATCTATTATTAAAATAATTAACAATTATTGCCACACATTCCCAGACTGAGTGAAACTCTTAAAACCACAAAATGAAAATCAATTCACTCTACCTGAATTTGGGGCATACATTTAGGGTACAGTTAAGTAAGCAAAATAACAAATAAATGAAAACTTGGATGCTATCTGGGCATTCCAGGGTTACGTCTTACCCCTCCTGCTGTAATGGGCCAAAATCTTTCAGTACAAGAAAGGAATGGTTGAGGTACTTAAATTTTAAAAGAAAATGGATCTAGAAAAAAAGCATCTTTTAAAAATAGGAAATATACTGAGAGATTATTGTTTCTCCAAAATTAAACATTTGAATTATGAAAAATTATACAGGATACTATCCCCTGAGGAAGCTCTCTCTGGTTTACTGCCTACTTTTGCTAACTAAAAGCTGGTCGTGAGAGGTTAGTAAAGGCTGGGCCCAAAACTGAACAAGCCACAAGAGTTAACAGAAACGATGCTAACCCTGGTGAGGTATTAGTGAGTGTTAAGAACTGACCCGAAGGGACAGACATTGAGAAAAAAGGGCTAATTAACTGAATATAAGAGGTCAAACAGGTCTCAAATTGGAGAGTCGAGAAGAACATTCAGGTTCTTTTTTAAAGAGGAAATTTTTTAAAAGGCAGGAAATGAGTTTATCAGTTGGACTGAATTGTGATACCACAAAATAATTCTCAAATATTGGTCAAAAAACAAGTTCAGTGACTTACTAGTAGTTAGCATTTTCCACCAACATTGTTATTTTCAGAGTTTAGTCACAATGTGAACTTCTGTGAACCCATGTGAGCTTGCATGAATACAGAATTTAAACTTATATGTAAAGAATTCAAAAAAACTTTTCATCATCATGTGACTTGTTTTTTCAGACCTCTACAGGTGATGCCCTCTCCCATCAAATGACTTTCCCATGATTTCTGTCAAAAACACCTACTCATTTAAGGGCCAATTCAAATGTCGCTTTCTCGGTGATGCCTTCCTTGACTGCCCAAAGTGTTTTACTTCCCACACTGTTCCACCCCATTGTAGCTCTTAACATGTATAATGATTACTCCCCGACATGCCTCTCTCTCTCCAAGAGCTTCTTGTGGGATGCAATGGTCTACATGTTAGTGTTCTCTCAAAATTCGTGTGTTGAATCCTCAACTCCAGTGTGATGGCACTAGGAGGTGGGGGAGAGGTCTTTGAGAGGTGACTGGGTCAGGAGAGTGGAGCCCTAATGAATGCAATGAGCATCCTCATAAAAAGGGGCCCCAGGAGCTCTCTCGCTCTCTTTCCACCACGTCAGGATGGAAGAAACCCAACCAGGAAGAGGGTCCTCACAGACGCCGACCCTGCCAGCACCCTGACTGTAGACCTCCAGCCTCCAGAATTGCGAGAAATAAATTTTTGTTGCTTATAAGTGACCCAGTCTATGGTATTTCGCTTTGGCAGCCCGAAGTAAGACAAAGGAAAAAGGCAAAATCTTCTTAGCTTTTCGTTTCCAAGGACTAGAACTCACAATGAACATTCAGTAAATTTATGGACTAGATAATTGTTTGGTTTCCAAGGTTAATAAAAGTTTCACTCTCTGAAAAATAGGGCTTGCTTAAGTTACATAATACTTAAACTATCTGAAGGATATTTGGCACAGTGGTTAAAAGCATGAACTACAGAGTGAGACAGACTTGGATGCAGATCCTAGCTCTGCCATTCATGGCACTGAGGTCAGCTATTGTGCCCGCTTCCTCATCTAAAAATGAGGATAATTATAGTAGCAAAAGCATCACATTATTACAAGAACAAAATGAGACGATGCTGACAAAATGCTTATCACAGCCCCTGGCACAGATTAAGTCCCCAGAAACCCACCTCCATCATTTCCCAGGGCATGTCGGGAACTTACAGGGACTTCCTTTGGTTGTCAGAGTGACTGGGGGTAGCACAGAAGCGAGTGTCTTGTCCAAATGTCAATAGCGTCCCCACTGAAAATACCTATCTACTGTTTCAATTGTTCTAGTTAGCAATATGAAGACTGCGTTAGGGAGGAAGGAGCCACTTACAGTTCCTGTACTGTCATCTGCTCTTTCTCTAGGTTTCTGCTTTTGGGGAGAAAGAAGAGAAATCATTTCCTTTTTCATTTGCTGAAGAACCTTCTTAAGTTCAGCATTTTCCATTAGGATTTGTTTCTGACGATATTCATAATCATTCAAGAGAATTTTATACATTTCATCTTCATTCCTGAGAAAGAAACTGTCAGTATGAAAATGCAGCATAGAAAAGAAGTCTGATTAAATTCACCAATTTAAAGTGTGCCTTACTTACCTGGCTTCAGTTTTACCAGTCCTCCAGGAGCCTCTTTTTCCATCAGCTCTCCCAACATAATTTAAAACTTCCATAGCTAAAAACGTGAACACACAAAACAAAATCAATTCTTACCATACGCGTTTAAGCATTTAAAACGTTAAGACACTCTTTATGCATTAGGGACATAAGTCAACCTGGTATATAGATTAGGATTTGGGCTCAAGGAGCCCAGATTTTAAGTTCCAGTTCCATCACTCATAAGCACTGAGATCTTGGCAAGTTATTTAACTGCTAAGCCTGTTTCTTCATCAATACAGTGGAAATCAGGAAAGTATCTACTAAAGGATTGTGCAGAGTGAAAGAAATGTTAAAGTACTTAATACAGTAAGTACTTAATAAATATTATTTAATTACCATTTTTAATTTTATCATCAGGGGCTGGCAAACTATGGCCTGTGCATGGCTTCCTGATTGTATAAATAAAGTTTTATCAGAACACGGCCACATCATTTGTCTATATATTGTTTATGGCTACTTTCGCACAACAATGGCAGAGTGACAAAAGACCACAGATTTCACAAATCCCCAAATATTTATTATTTAGATCTTTATAGAAAAAGTCTGCTAAGCTCTGTATCATTATCACCATCGCCATCATCAAAGGAATCAAGGCTCCTGACAGTGTTAATGTCTCTTCTGCCCCAGATGGAGATGAAATAGTTGGCATGCAAAAGAAATAATTTTAGAGCTGATCAAAAAATCATTATAGAACTGTCACTTCCAGTTGGGTTCGGACCAGGAAAGAGCCAGACCCTCATAATATAAGGGCTCTGCTAAAGAATAACTCTTTAATAAATTTCTCTAACTAGGTGTTACATTCTGGCATTTCATCCTGCTCTTTAATTTTGCTATTTCCTTCATGAACGAACACAGGTTAACCAATCTTAAAAACCAATGAGTATCCAAGTGAAGTTTAAGATTTATTGTCTCAGAATACCTAGATTTCTAAACTTGTCTTAACTGCTCATTGTTACACTTTCATTTTTTCAACAATGTTAAAATATTCAAATAACTGCGACAGCGCTGCTGTACAGATGACAGTGACACGGTCAACACTGAACTGCTCGCTGGTAACAGGCTCAGCTCACCATGTGACAGCTTGAAACATCTGCTCATCAGCTGTTGTATGCAAGGCCAAGTTCAGAATAATGTATAATGTAGGTTAGATGACAGTCCACTTGGAAACCACTCTTCAATAAATCAACATGCAGATTTCCTGTTCCCTGAATCTTGGCAGGCCAGCAAAACTTTATCTGTGTAGCTCTACTTTTGTGTGTCTGTAGTTCTATTTTTTAATCTACATTATTTACTTGAAATCATGCACATACTTGGATGAAATAACTTAAATTAATTTTCAAAAGAATAACAAAGTATACTTTCATTTCACAGCTGTACTCTGAAAGTGCACAGCTAAATTAATTTACAGGAATTCAAGTGGACATGAATGATTTGGCTTAATGAGCAATTTTATGACGTAAACTCAAAAATCATACTTTTGATACTGAGAAACCAATTCTGACTTTCAATATTATCAGGTCTTCACTATGAAAGGTTAGAGTGTCCTCTGGCTTAGCTTTTCTCTTAACCTGTCATGTTAAAAAAAAAATTCACAATTTTTATGTGCAACGAATAGCAAAATTACTATTTTTAACCAACCAGTTTTCTCAATTTCTAGTTTATATGGAATATACCATCTAAAATCAATTTATAAAGCATGAAAGGACACTTCATGAGTCACTGCACTCAATCCCTCTATACTCGTTTTTTAGTGTAATACCAGCTTATTTATTCCCTTTGCTCTGTCTTAACCAGCTGCTTCTTACCTATTTTTTTATCCTTCTTGTTCATAACAAGTTGATGTAGACGTTCCTTTAGTTTATTATATTCTCGCTCCTTTCTCTTCATATCATGATTATACTGAGTAGCTCGACTTGCAATGATGTTTTGTAATTTTTGTACCTAAAAAAGGCAATTTCTATTAAGTGAGTTCCTCTGAGATTGATAAACCCAGTTACATTTTTCAAAATCAAAAGAGAAAAGTCAGAGTATTCAGCATCCCATTTAATAGTTTAAGAATTCCAGGATTATTCTTCCTTTTCCATAGTCAGGAAATCACTCTTTAAAATAGCACTAAATGAAGCACATAAAGTTTTTATTCTTAATTCTGAAATTTCCAGAGCCACTAACTTTGTAAATTATCTTCTACTACACCTTTCACCCTACATATAGCATCTGGTCATTCAGAAGCCACAAACTCTTATGGAAGTATCAACACGATTAAAGCTTCATTTGAAACAAGTAGACTTCATCTGATCATTTGTAATGACTTCCTTTTACTACTGACTTGAATTGCTTTATTCTTTATCAACCTGTGACAAGGCCAGTTAGTCCATGGCACATGGTAGCAGGTAAGCAGGTTCATTTTTCTCTGATCAAAAACAGCTCTCAAGTTAGAGTGAGTCCAATAGCAGAGAGAATCCAGCTCAGAGGTTTGCTGAGCACCTGCTACACGCCAAGCACCACTGGTCGGCATCCGTAGGCACCGCGGCTCCCCAGGCCGCCTTGGGCAGGAAGCAGGTTCTAGTGTATATAAACATCCGTTATCTCTGCTAGAGATGATCATGTTTAACTTAATCCTCCTGAAGAGGAACTACAGTCAAACCACTTAAAATATAATCAACAGATTAAGTCAACATTTTCTGTGAAATAACTCATGGAAATGTATAAGCAACCTTGTGGATTAGTTAAGACACTTCATTCCCTACTTACTAAACATACTACGAAACAATCTGTCTAAATCACTACAAGGTCCTTAAAGAAATACACTCCCTTCAAAGTATTTATTATAGTTGAAGCAACATACCCAACACTGAACATGTTACAGTTTCACAGTTATCACATGGTCAGAAATCAAACTGCAGAGCAATAAAAACACAATGGTTTCTTCTCACATAAATTAAAAGATAATTTTGAATGCATTAACTCCATGGGTCCAAATACTAAGCAACCACTAAAGCAAAAATGAGATTAGAACTATGACTTCTTTAGCCTAGAAATGAGATTTTTAATGTGAATTGCTTTTTTAAGACAGTAAATTGTATGCTTATTTAGTCAAATAATTGCTTGACTGGATGAACAATGTCAATATTTAAGATAGTGCAATTAGAGGCATCCCAGATATTAAGTAGAGGGGCTGCAGACAACAAAAGATCTGCATTTAAAGCACCCGTGTGTCTGACAAAAGTGGCAGTGCACGTGGGTCCAGGATGGATGGCAGAGAACACTGGGGGCCACAGAACTATGGACCAATGTACTAAGCCAAACGGGCCCACTTAGGGGAGGGCGTGGCGACCTCTCAGTTCAACAGGATACAATACTGTACACAGGGGTGTACCAGGTTCACCATACCAGTTTGACACAGGATGACTAAAAATAAACTCACTTAAACCTTATCTGCAATAACTGGCAACTCACCTCATCTTTCTCATTTTTCAGCAGCTGATGCAAATTCCTGTTCTTGCATTGTAACTGTCTGTCTCTTTCCTGAAGCCCAATCATTTCCCTCCTGGAGTTTTCCAGCTGCTCCTAAAACATTCGTGTACAATTTTGACTAAAATTAACATAGGATTCAGAGCAAATGAACTCTTAAAAAGATTAGTAAAAACAAGTCACGCACATCGGTATTTGTTAGCTAAAAATGCAGTTTAGCAGCACACAAAATGTTTATTAAAAACAATTACTTAAAGCTTGATGCTATAGAGTTACAAAATTTATTTAAATTTAAATATTAGATTTTATTTAATTCAAATACCACATTTTTAATGGATACCAAAAGACCTTCAAAGTGGGTCCCTTGAAACACTCCACCTATCCTAGTGATGTTGCCAATTTCAATACCTTTTACATTTCTACAGCACATGCTGAGAAAGACCCAAAAATGACTGGGAGCTAAGTCTGAAGAAGACAGGCGACCAAGCAAAACAGAACATTTAGGTCAAAGAGGGTGGGACCACAGCATGACACCAGTTCTCCCTTCCAAGTGGTAACCTCGTAACAGTTCTCCTAGAGTATGCAGCAACCCTGCAACCAACGTGGGATTAAGATGCTCACTTTCAATTCATCCCACACTTTGCAGAGGAACTGTGCCAAATTCTACATGAAACTTCTGGAATATTTTTAAATCCTCTCATCTTTATAAAATATACGTCACTCAAGTTATGACATATCTGAAGGCAAACAACAGCCCTTACAATCTCTGTTAACAGTGGATCTCGAGAAGACACAGAAAGTTAGGGATACAACTTAGATAACTCCCAGGTTGTCAGACTTATGGGCACCCTCTTCTCTGGAGTGCTTAAAACTTTCTATCACGCCAGACCACTTGGCATGGCTGAACTTAAAGGCACTGGGCCAGCTGAGGTGTCCCATATATGTCAAATCAGATTCTCTCAGTCTTCAACTTCACATGAACTCACCACATCCCTGCAAATCTGCTTCTTATCCCAGTGAATCATACCACCATCACCAGTAAACTCAAGAGACTTGAACAGTATCTTTAATTTATGACTCTTTTTTCCTCAAATTCAATTTTTCATGAAATTCTACCCATTCTACTCTTAGGTTTTCTTCACATCTCACTTTTACTGCTTCGTTGGCCCTATCTTAGTTCAAGTGCAAAACCTCCCTGGACTGGACGACTGCTAAGGCCTGCTAACAGCTGTCTTTTCCACCAGGTGCTGAGCCCCTACCTCCCTCCATTCCTATATTTTCTATACCTCCTCCTATAATTTCTTCATCCTATTGCCAAACTGATATTTACAGGAGGCCCTCCTCGTGTTTACACTCCTTGGTGCCTTTGGGTCTCTGTGCAATACCATTCGCATCATCTGGGGCCTGGGTCCCAGCCTGGCCTCGTCACTCTTCATCATATACCATACACATCAGCCCCTAAGAGCTATTTGCTGCTCCCTGAATGGAAAATGTTCTCTTGCCTCCATGCTTTTATACAGGTCATGCGCTCTGACTAGAATGGCTTTTCCAACACTAGCAAATTTTAATTCATTCCTCAAATCTCAGACCAGGTGCTACCCCTCTCTTCCCTTACCTTTCACACCAAGAACAATGAGTGAAGCAAATAATTACGGTCTCCTCTCACTGGATGACAATCTCCTTGCAAACAGGGACTGGGTTCCATTCATTTTGGAAATACTCCGTAAATTGCTCAAGAAACTGAATGAATCATATGTTACATGCAGAAACTCTTCAAGGACAGATCAGCAACGTTTCCCACTGAACACACATTTCAGTCAACAGCTGACCTAAAATACCTGATTTTGGCCCAGGTCAAATCCCCAATGAGAAGGTATCCTGGAAAATACTCTGTGCTGTGGGTGATCCCACTAAACAATCACTCCTTAGAGGAAAGGCTCCACAGCCCCAGACCACCAAAATCATTATGTAATTACCCACCAGCTACTTACAAGACACTCGGCCACGGGTGCCCAGGTAGGAAAAGTTTTAATGCAGGATTACTGCCTTCTAGGGCTTACAACTCTGGGTCAGTCTAATTCATAAGACCTTCCATAGGCTTCTCTGACGACGACTAAGGTAGTTTCCATAACCCACAGCCTTTTAATAAGCTTGCAGGGTATCAACGACCCCCTCCATCCCACCACAGTTCCCCGCTCAGCCAGGATATGTGGCTGGATAATCTCTATCCCTCAGGCAGGGCACACAGAATGTACAAAAACCTAAAGTTATTATTAAAGAGAAAACATACTGATGCGTGTGTGAGCTAAGACGACAACAGACAACAGTGTGAGGCAGCGACAGGCTGGTGTGGGCAGGTGCTGCTGAGGGGCCGGGGTGCTCCCCCCGCCCCCAGCGTCCACATGCAGGCCGCTCCAGGCTCCTTCCTCACCGCGCACTCTCTGCTAAAGGGCTGTCAGCCATCAGATACATCATACACTACATACTGGAGATCCTATCACTCTCCAGTGGAGCTCAGAGACTCAGACCGCTGAGTGGTTTTTGTTGTTGTCTGTTCTTGGAGGGAGTGAGGTGGGATGGAGAGAGGATACAGAAGAAAAATAAGTAGCGGCATGGACCAATAGGTGAAAAACGGAGAAGAACTGACTTTCTGAGAGCATGAGGATTCAAAGCTTTTACTTTCACAACAAAGAAAGCCCATTATAAGATAGGACCTTTAGAAAAAAATTTGCTTTGCATTGATTATATTACATCCTTCATAATATACAATCATAAGCCCCTACCAGACTGATTTCGAATACCTTCTTCCATCTCAATAAATGAGAAATTCATTTCTCAAATAAATGAATAAAAACACTTTTTTAAAAAAGAACACATAAAAGGGAAAGAATGAGAGCAAAGCAGAGCCAGCAACCAGCGTTCTGTAGTTCAAGGTAGCATGTCAATGGCTCTGTGTAAATTATGTCCTTTGTTCAGAGAAACAAGCAAGTTTATGAAAGCATTCTTCCAGGCCCTCGCTCGAGTCCCAGGGACTTGACTTCTATGACTTAGCAGTTATCTGGCCGCTTCCATTACTCAGCTTTAGCAACTATGGCACAGATGCCCTCAAGAATATTCTTTGCGGAATTAACTGATGCAGTTTCTCACAACAAGACTATCTTAAATTAAGCATCTTCTTTATTAAAAAGACAGATGGGATGGGGACTCTTTATTTTCCTTGGATATGAATATTTCTTAATCTAACTTTCTAGTGATTCAGCAAATCACTAAGCAGTTCATAAAACCAATGCCTTCAATACAGACATCAGGAAGCGGTACAACTGAAATGTATGAGTTATATTCTCTTATACTTACAGTTTTAAAAAATCCTAAAACTTGAAAAAAAGACCCTAAAACTTGTTTGATAAATAAATCCAATGTAAATTTATAGTAACAAACTACATCATGGTGGCCCTGAGATACAGACTGACGCGTCATTTGTACCTTAAGTTTCGCATAGCAGTTCTGCAGATGGTCCATATCGCTTCCCAGTTTCAGATTCTGTGTTTCCACGTTTTCCTGAGCTAGAAGGTTCTTCCGCTGAAGTACGAGTAGCTCATTCATACAATTTAAAACAGCAACTATATTTAATTCTCTCTTTGTCTCTTTACCTTTGGATTCTTCATATAATGAAGGAAAACCGAAAGTAGTCAATTCCTAGTAGAAGAGAACGTTTGCCCAAGAGTTGGTTACTGGACAACTTAGTAAAGAAATAGAGATAGAAATCTTTTCTGAGAAAGAAAACTAACCTGAGATAGTTAAAAAAAAAAGTAACTATCCCAAAGAATTAAGGACAAAGCATTAAGAGAGCTGGGCTCTCTCAGCCTCTGCTCTGCAGTCACCTGGGACCTGCAGCAAGGCACTTAGGTTCCTGCATCAGGAAAAGAAGGGTGAGGCTCCCGGTGGAGAAGCCCCTGAGGCGATGGGGAGGCCAACCTGCTCCAGACAAACACGCTTACCCTGGATCTAGACCAGATGGCCACCAAGGTTCTCTGCAAATCTAACATATACCCTGGGCCAATGTGTAATACAATGTGCTTCACAAGTATTTTTCTCAGAACTTTGATGTGTTTTAGTATATAACATGATTTATGTTATCTATTGCTTCTTACAAAAAAGTATTACCTGATCAAGATATGAAATACTTTGTTCAATATTCTCTTCTGTGCAGAAGGCACTAAAAAAGCTGTGCACATTTTTTGATAAAGGTATTGAAGAACATAGCACTTGCTGTGAGTATAAACTTGATGGAGACATCTTTGTTTCTGAGGTATATTGAGAGATATTTTTGTTTTCTGAAAAAAGTCAGTAAAAGGCATCTATGTAAAACATTTGTTAAAATGCATGCAAAGTCAATAACATAATCTCCATTACCAAAGATTTTGAATTATATAAATATTTAACTGTTTCCAAATTAAGGCAAAGATGGATTTTATATGAAAACCATGTACTTTTTTCTAAAAAGATACAATAAAGCTATGCTCTTAGAAAGCATCTTAATTTACAGTACTTTAGATTCAGATTTATAAAAATAGAGAAAATCCACTAGTTTATGCATTAAAAGTTTATGTGATTAAAGGAATCAGCCAGAGAAATGTATTGAAGTAGCCAATGAATTTAGTTCAAATGCATAAAAATCTCCTCAGAAGTAGTAATGACCGAGCCATCTATTATCCATCCAACGTACTTGACCCCATTAATTACAGAACAATTCTTGGCTCTCCCTGATAATTCTGCAACTATTTATGTACCTCTTTAGTTACATCTTCAATTTTTGTGGTAATTATATTTTCATTGAAAACTAACCTTTACAATTACTGCTTTGGCTTACAACCATTCTAAACTCAGTTACCTGAAGACAGACCTGAATCTGTAACAGTCATCCAATCTCCCATAGCAATCACCAGAGCCAGGATACCTGAGGGACCAGGTCAGCAGTGAAACATCTAGTCCAGCTGCTGTCACTCTTCTATGTAGGCATCTCCTTAAAAAGCACAGAATGACAGCATCTAATGAAAAATATGAAAGGAAATATAAAACCAGTATGTAAGAATGAGTTGTGTGTGCTTCAAAACAGAAGGATTCTGCATTATTTACTCTCATGTACTCTCAAACAGAACGAGGTAGAACTCAGTAACTGTATGTGCATGTGTGTCAGGATCAAGGTTAAAGGCATCTCAAGTTGATCACATTGCTTCATATACAAAGTACATGGTACATCATCTAACTCACAGTATAAATCTAAGGAATAGAACTGTACTAAGTAATATTTCCAAATTACACCCTTTAAAATAAAGTACAATTGTTACTTATGTAAAGATGTGACACTTCTTGGTCAGCATTCCCTATTTTTTGTTTGTTTTTACTAACTATATTAGCAAAACTTTTAATTACAATTCCTAGTGCTGACACAGATGTAGCAAAACGATACTCCTCTACACCACTCTTCAGAAATAGATCGACTTATACTACTGCTAATCAATCTTGCAGTATATACCAAAAGTTCTAACAGTAAAAATACATTTTGATCCACAAATTCCACTTTAAAAATTTATCCTAATAAAATAACAATTTTCACAAAGATTCATCTACAAATTATTTATAATACAAAAAAAAAACCAGAAATAACTTCTATGTTCCACAACAGGAGACTAGTTACATACATGACACATTTACGCAAGAGAACACTGTGCAATCTTTAAACACAACCATGTAAAACTGGGCGGGGGGTGGCGCTAACATATACACAAAAGGCAAGAAATGCACATGAATAAAGTGGACCAAGTGTAAGAAACACATAAGCTTTTTAGTCTACCATTCATGTTTCCACTTTTCAATGAGATAATGGAAGCAGTAAATATTACTCCATCATAAAAATATTCAAATGAAATTATAAATGGCAACTGGAAATTCATTTCAAGGTCAGGGATGGGAGGGGGAGGGATAAAGACTGCAGGCAAACTGGAGAACACATGTCAACACTTCGGACAGCTGCTTCTCAGCCACAATAAATTGTGGCCAAAAGAGAAAGCAGGTCCCGTGTTGATACAACTTTCTGTTTTTTTAAGAGATGCTGGAATTCTGGATTTCTATGTGAAATCTCCCAATGCTACCCCTGTTCTGAATATTTAAGATTGTGGGGAAATATTCACAATATAATGTTAATATGAGATGAAAATTTTCATCCATTTAATAAAATTTTAATTGTGCTACTATGTGCCACACACATACGTCTAGGCATGGAGGTAGCCCTGCTCTCAAAACCTTTACATTCTGATGAGGGTAAAAATAGGTAAGAAGTAAGCAATAAATTAAATTACATTAACATCACACTCGGAGAGTGATAAGAACAATAAAGAAAATAAAGCACAGTAAATGAGAGAGCATTAGGGTGGGGGTACCTAGATTAGTCAAGGAAGGCTGCACTGAGATGCTGACATCTGAGCTGAGACCTAAATGATACGGAGTCAGCCACAAGACGGTCAAGGACCAGAGCTGGTCAGGCAGAGGAAACAGCAAGCACAAAAACCTAAGGTGGAAATAAACTTGGTACGTATGAAAAACGTAACGGTGGCCAGTGCGTCTGAGGCACAGTCAGCAAGGACAGATGTATGAAGTTGGACTTTCTCTAGATTACAACGAAAAGCTCTCAAAGCAGTTGAGGTAGGAAAGCAGCACATCTCCTCTAGGCTTTAAAAAAGATCCCCCTGGCTGCTCTACCCTGTGAGATTACAGGTGGGCAGTAGTGGAGGCTGGAAGAAATCAGGCTACTGCATTAGTTCAGGCAAAAAGAACAGTGTTAACACTACAACTCTAACAGTGGAAGCAGAGGCAGGTGGATAAACGAGGGATGTGTTCTGGAGACGGAACCTTGAGTACTTGCAGATGGAGTAAATATGGGCAAGAGATCAGAGATAATTCTTAGGTCACAAAGCAACATAAAATACATACTCGAGCTAATAGTTGTATGTGTCCTTAATGTTACGATGTCACCCACACAGAAGGTTACCTAGTCTGGCACTGGTCTTTTGCTATTTTGCTACTCATGTGCCTTGGGAAGAGCACCTTGAACTTTTCCGCCCTTCCCACTGTCCTTAAACGAGTGCTTTCAGCAACAGGAAGAGCAGGATGAAGGCTGAGCGTGCACCCAGACAGATGATTTTACTTTTGGTTTTCAGAGGTAGTAGCTATAAGCAAAACAGGACCCAAAGGACAACACACCCAGTTATTCTAACCCAGCTATGTTTGGGGTAAGTTACTTAACCTCTCCAAGCCCTAGTTTCCTCACTGGTAAACTGCCATTATCCCCTAAGGACTCAGCGAGCTGATGCACATGAAGTATTCAGCACACTGCTTGGCATTTGGGACACAGGTAACTATACCAGTTGTTATCATCATCATCTAGATGTGGATCTGTTTGGTACAAATGGCAAGATTCTAAAACCTATAACAAAACGTACTGCTGTTGCTCCTAAAAGCTGAACATAAATCCTTAAAATATGAGACAGATATCCTTATAAAATACATTAGACAGTGGATTAATTCTTTGTTAAGCTGGAGGGAGGGACAAGATTGAAAAAAAACAAAAAACAGGACTAGGCACCTTTCCTAGTTCTTTTTAAAAAGATATTTGTAAGTAAGACACAGCAGTGTCCAGAAGTGCATGGAAAGATCATTAAACACCCAGATGGGTCTACTACATCCATACTTAAAACTGTGATTTAAGTCAGTTACTCTTTACTCTTTGAATTTAGTTCTCCAGTGTCTACAGGTTTAGACAGTGAACTGTTCCCTAAACAAACAAAACAAAAAATATTCAGGTCCAGTTAAATGTTCAAAGTGAAAAACCAAAACTCCATTTTAAAGCACTATGAAACAAAACTTACTAATGGTATATAATTTCACACCATTGAAAAGTCTCTATGTATCCTCTTCAGTTCAGTGAGGCACCAAATTACACACAATAAAGCTTGTGATAAAAGTTACCCAACCAGTTTTTCCAAGAAAGGAGACTTCAGACTTTCAATACGCATCCCCAAACCAAGATACTAATTTAAGCAAAGTATTCTATTCTAGTTCAATCATAGCTAAAATTTCATTGTTGAGGGTTGCAAAATATTTTTATGATATACTAAAGTAAGACAATATTAGTTTCAAAAGCAAAAGAAAAAGGTAACAGAAGCATCTCTGCTTTGCATACATCTAATACCATCACAGGTACATTTCAACTTGAAAACTACAAAAGCAGTCGAAGAGGAATTCAACTTGGTGCTGGAACACAGAATTAAGTTCTATGCCGTATATATACAAATTATAATTATTATATATTAATCAAGTCATAACAAACCATTCTATAGTTGCCACCATTATCCATGAAAGTCATGTAAAAAACAAAATTGATTATGCTATAGCATTTTTACCATAGGTTGATTATAGAATAAAGGGAAAAAGTTAACAGTGAATCGTGTTTTGGTTCAAGTAATCTATAACCCTCAATTCTCTTCATATACCATTGATTCGGGTAGCTACCCAAATTCCCAAAATCATGAGTAAATTTTATGAGCAAAACTTGAAGATTAAAGAATTTAAACATCTTATAAAGTCACTTCATTCATCTAAGATTGACAGGGAACAATCTTGAAATAAAGCAAGAAAAAATCTATAAAGTAATCCATAAGCAAGAATTCTTTCTCCTATTCCACACACGTTCCTTCCTAGTGGATAACGTACACAGGCATATAATAAACTTCCTTGTTCTGAGTATTTCTCAAAGGACATGTCAGTAAATGTCTTCTTAATACAGAATCTTACTAACTGCAGTAAAATTACAATTATTTCAGTAAAAACGACACCTAACTCTTTCTGAAGAACCACTTTGGCACCCCGCTATTTGCTTTGGGCCCCAAAGTATAATGCCGTATCCTTCAGGTGTAAAATAAGCAAGCACACTCTGGTCTTTTCTAGGTAAAATGATCAAGCAGAACTTAAGAATTACCAAGCAGCAGCTTCAAAGTTAGACTCCTAACAGAAGACTGGAGAGCAGTGAGATAGCTGAACTTGACTGTATACTGTTTTTGAAAGAAAATGAAGATTTTAGTAAGTTTCAAAAAAAAAATCTGTCACTCTTGATGTCACAGTATTTTCTTTCTTATGTATTTACCTATACTACAGACAGGAAACTTGGGCTCAGAGATGCCAACAAGATCGTCTAAGGTCACACTTCTAATCAGTTGTGAAGCCTGGACACAAATCTCAGTCTTCCAAACTGTGTTCTTTTTACTCTGTCACCATTCAACCTTTCAACCCTGTACACACAAATCTATCTATGTTAAAAGAATAAAAGATTTCCATCAAGGTTCCTTAAAAGACTTTAAATTACTCCATTCAGAACACACAGTTCTCAAAGGATCTCATCTACTACTTAAACTGAGGTACTTGTAAAGTTCTCCTTTGCTATGTCACCAACAATACCTTTTTCTCATTTATGAACACTTTGCTTTAAAAAGGCATCAAACAATTCCCAGAAATGGTATCAGTTCCAAAGAAAGTTAATGAAGATGGAATTAACTCATTTTACCATTTATTCCTAGAATAAATATTAAGACAACATCAAAACTAAGTTTATGGATCTTTAGCAAGAACATTTATGGTTTGGGTTAACGGCACCTGTTTTTCCCAACAGAAAGTTCCTTGGCTGGTTCTTCCTTCCACCCCAAAGGCTCAGGGCTTCTTAATATACATCAATCACTTTTAGCATCTGGGATCAGGCAGCCTCTGGGAGGGCCCACAATGATTCCTGCTTCCTGGAGTACACACCTTTGGGTTGTTCTGCTCCTCGAGCATGGGCTGCATTTAGTGACTAGCTTCTAACAAAGTGAATAAGCAGAAGTGATGGGATTTCACTTCCAAATTAGGTTATAAAAAGGCCGTTGCTTCTGTCTGGGGTCATTTCTCACTCACTGCCTCTTGGATCCCTCTTTCTAGGGAGAGCAAGCTGTCAGAGCTATGTTTTGAGCAGCCCCATGAAAGGCCAAAGTGGCAAGGAACTGATTGATGTCTTCAGCCAACAGCCAGCGAGGACCTGAGGCCTGCCAAGAGCCGCCTGAGTGAGGCTGGAAGTGGATCCTCCCCATCAAGCCTCGGGATGCCTGCAGCCTTGGCCAACCCCGGAAGGCGGTCTACTGAGAGACCCTGGGCCAGGGGCACCCAGATTCCCAAAGGATAGAAACTGAGAGATAGATGCTTACTGTTTAAAGCTGCTAAATTATGGAGTAATTTGTTACGCAGCAATAGAGAACACAATATATATGTATACAAATACATAAAACACACAGTACATTTCTGAGTCTCTTCTGTAATTTACATGTCTCCTGCTGACACGTAACCAAAGTGTTACCACATACAAAGGCAACTAATCAGGCTTATGACAGTATTAGTCAGCACTACGACGAACTGCTCCATATTATATAGGTGGATGCCTCCCCCACTAGCTTATGAACTTCCACAGGCCAGGGAACGTATTCATCTCTGTATCCAACAGTTCCTGAAACACGGTGGCAGTTCAGCAGACGTCTACAAAATGACCTGACCCCCGCCATGCGGCACACCCACTCCAGCCTGTGTGCCCCACGTGTGCTTTCTTCCTTCAGCTACTCCCAAACCAACGCCCTTCCAAGCCCGGTTCACGCACACCATTGCCTCCACAAAGCCCAGGAAACTATTCTCCAGGTCCTCCTCATTGACCTCATCTTTCCCAGCTAGACTCTCTAGTCACATTTTACACTTCTGTACCCCTCCAATCTGAACAGATGGAATGATCAATGAACACTCAAGTAAATAACTGATGATAAATGAACGCGTTCACTCCAGCAAGCAAAAGTGGATAATGAAAACAGCACAGGAAGAGAGCGGCACGAGATGTGAGTCCTCAAGAGGAAGTACTGCTGTCCATTTCCGAAATCTCTCCTCACACTCCTGCCTGCAGAGAGAGCTCAGCAGAAAGCAGTGTCCTGATTACAAGCCCTCCTTCACACAGCACACTGTTCTAAGCGTTCTTTTCAAGCTCACTTGAAATTCAAACTCGAGAAGGCACAATTGCCTACCTAATCAGAATTCTAAGACTTCAATCAAGTGTCAGGAAATAATAGTTTTTCATTATACAGGAAGGCAGTAACATTATACTATCTGGGCTTCTAAACACTGAACAGGAATTTTTTTTAAACAAATAACCAACTAAAGTCTTTGCTAAAATCTCACAAAGCCAGAGTCACAAAACTGTTGGGTTAAGAAAATAAAATTGTTAAAACTAAGTCTTAAAATATTAGTTCTTAAAAAAAACTTTCATAAAACTTAACAGTATAGTTATCTACATACTTTAAGAGATGTTATTACTTTCAAAAGCCAAGTACATTATGATTTAGAAGATTAATACTACCTTCTACTATAATTTTCTTCCAAAGGAGACTGTAGCTTAATTCCATTCAAACACTTCTGCCACCTTACAGAACACCACTGAGATATGCATACCAGTATAGAAACATACTAAATTCAACCTCTTAGACATCTACTTTTTACAAATTTAAAATCTCACT